TATAGAATTAGACGAGAACACCATCGCGGCGCAGGCGTTCGTTTTTTTCGCCGCCGGCTACGAAACATCCTCCAACACAATCGCGTTCTGCCTTCACGAGCTAGCATTCAACCAGGAGATCCAAGAACGGGCCAGACGAGATATCCGCGACGCCATAGAGGCGCGAGGTGGAAAATTAACTTACGAGGCGGTACAGGAAATGAAATACCTCGACATGGTAATATCAGGTACGGCCTGAAATGATATCATTGATACAAAGAGCGGTGAGACTCGATTTGCGCTCGCCAAAATTGGATTTCTAAAGATTACCGAGGAGAAGAAGGGACAAGGTAAAAGAGAAAAATACTCTAAATTAAGACTCCAAATTAACACGTTGACCGGATGGCCCAATAATTTACGCATTGCGTCAGTCAAAAAATATGGTAGGACTCAGTCAAATTTAATTCAATCGCATTCTTACTTTATCGTATTCAACGGAAACAGATTATTCATTGACAAAATAATCGTCGTCGTTGTTCGTGAATCTCCGCTCAGTTTAGAATATTTTGACCCAGCAATCGTGTACTTCTATGGTTCGTAAAGGGTGGCCGGTTTATCGTCGAAGTAGAAAACTCAACTCTCTGACCGAACTAATATAAATATAAAATATGCGTAAAAAAACAGGGAGCCGATGAAACGTGCTAACGAATATATGCGTCATGATGCGCATTTATTTATAGTAATTTTGGTTGTTTAAGCTCTTTAGTCACGAAATAATGAAACTCGACTCGTGATGTTACGTGCTAATCGAAGAATCTTCTCGCATCTGAAAAATTTCCGCGACATCCTGTATTGAGAAAAAATATATCTAAAATGTAAAAAAAATACTTAATCGGTGGATATTAAAAGCATATTTACTTATACCAAGATACATATTTTTATACTGAAGAAACGTTTTCTTCAAATGAGAAAATACACGTTCCCTTAAATCTGTAACTTTGTCACGAGAATATAACAATGACTTGTTCTGTTTAAATAAAAGAATCTAAATTTAAGTAAATATGTCATTGGTACTCACCGAACAAATACTTTATTCGTTTTTAGGTTTTTTTTCTCTCAGTGTGGCGAGATATATGATAATTTACATTGAATAACAGAGGTAAATTTTACGCAGAGATCCTCAGAAAGTATCCACCGGCTCCGTTATTCTCGCGAAAGTGCGAGTATAAGTATCAGATACCGAGTAGCGAAGTCGAGCTACCGGCCGGCATGCGGGTGGTCATACCGATTTACGGGCTTCATCACGATCCGAATTATTATCCCGATCCGGCGACGTTCGATCCAGAGAGGTTCACGGAGGAGAATAAGCGCACGAGGCATCCTTACGCGTATCTTCCATTCGGAGAAGGGCCACGTAATTGCATAGGTGAGCTCCGGTTATACCCAGAATCGAATTTCAATCGTTTCTTACCTCACTGCGACGTTAAAATCTCTCGTTTGCTTCAACAGACGTCTATATATATCACGGGAGATTCGCGGCGAGTAAGAATAATTCGATGATGTAAAAAATCGAGACAATTCCAACATTTTATCGACCTTAACGATTATTGACGAAATGAAAGAAATTTGATTTTAACCGTGTCGCTTTAACTACGTGTCGCCGTGAATTCTACGAGCGTTATCCGAGGAGAATTTTAATCCGCTAATCTTTCGGATACCCTTCAGGCTGCGCTTTTGCGTCATTGATCGGGTATGAATAGATCGTTAATCTTTAATCGCTTTCCCCTTCCCCTAAATGGTTATGAACAGTATTCGCATTATAATTGCGAATAGCATATTAGGCAAACAGCCTATACAGAATTCATGGTGCTGCTGACTCAACGTGGCCACGTTACGTAATAGCGCTCGTATACTGAAAAGAGATTATCGATTCTCGGGGCCGACTTGAGAACAACGATAGAATTATTTCGCGACGATCGATGAGAAATTACACGTGGAATTCGCAAAAGGTCCGATGATTCCGCTCTCAATCGTCTTATCGCTCGTAACGAATATACTTCCTCCCGTATTTGCTCGCTAAGCTCATAATCCGAGCGCAAAATATTATTAGCGTTAAATCCCTTTGACGTTGAACTCTCGCTTATCTTCAACCGATCGTAACTAATAAACGATCGCAAAGGAGTGTGTCGCGCGCGCGAAATTTATCGCGGCAACTTTCCCCCTCTAAGTAATTATTTACTTTGGGGAGGACAAGCTGCAGATTTGCCCGAGCAAGCAGAGAGATTTATGCAACACGCAGGACACGATTACAATGTATCGTACTTCACGCAAAAACGTCCGACACGTTCCCGATAAGCTCGTAACGATAAGCCCGTTATTATTAAAGATCGATAAATGATAGCCGTAACGCCACTTTATCACGATCCTACGTTGACATTGACGCATTTCACCATTTTTTCGCAGGAATGCGGTTCGCGTTGCTGCAGATCAAGATGGGGATAATATCATTCCTCAAGGATCATCGGGTCGAGATCTGCGACAAGACGATCGTGCCGATCAAATTTAGCAGACGGAGTCTCGTCACCGCGAGCGAGACCGGCTTTTGGCTTTCCGTCGTGCAATCTTCCTAGATCTGGAGATTTTGTTTCGCTTGTAGAGACGATACGATGGAACACGTGTGTCGAGAACTCTTTTACGGTCGCATTAGGGATTTATACGTGCGTATAAATAACAACCTTTAATGCGGCGGAAATCTAATGAGAAAAGAATTACATGAGTTTTAGGAAAATATAGTCTTATATTAAACGCGAAATATAAAGGCGCTATAATATATAAAACTGATTTATAAAATGACATACATATTTACTTTAATTGTATAAATGACCTAACGATGTTATTAATTCTTTATTTATCTATATGTGAAATCGTTTTTCGTCGTTTGAAAGATATTCCTCGTTATTTCAGTACTGATTATAGACCACGAAATCACACCTTACAGTGTGGGGTGTATTTTATTTTTATATCGGTAAAACATACTTCTATAACGTGCAAATGCATGATCGCAAATAAAAGTATAAATTGTTTATGTGTATCAGGCATTTCTATTTACATGAAATAAATTTTACTTATTATGCATATGCTATTATTAATATTAATGTATTTTGGAATAATGAGTAATAAACTATACTCGGAAATGTACTGTCCAATTTCTCTTTTATTGAGACAAATACATATAAAGGATATTGAGTACAAAATTTATTTAAACCTTATGTCATATATATATAATTAAGGTTTCTAATTTGAATACTTATACTATGAATATCTGTCTTAGGCCTTAAGAAACGTAATAGTCCCTCTTATGTTTAAGACCATTTTAAGTTCATCTTCAGATGCTTTGTAGCCAATGAAGTAAGCCGTGCAGCATCTGAAGAGGAACTTAAGACGCTCTTAAATATAAGGACTATTACGGTTCTCAAGACAAGGTGAAAATTACAAATATTTTAGTAAATTCGTTCACTTTTGTAAGGGTACTCTTCATATTGTATAAACGTTATTGTTAAAAATATTTGACACGAACATTAAAAATAATACAATTTTGACACTATAATTTTAATATTCAGGAATATTACATTATCAAATATCAAATTATCAAATAAAAGTTTAAAAATATTTATAAGATATTATGTCGAAATATTTATAAAATCTATCTTTCAAAAGATTGATTTAATGCTTTCTACTTATTAGGATATTATTGAAATAATTACTAAAAAGTGGCAACGGACTGCCTGGCACCATCTAATAATGTTATGAAAAACCCGAATAACGTGAGGTTTGAGTCTACGCTAAGTAGTTCGTACTTTAACTAAAAAATGTAAAATTGTAAACCGGAACTAAGAGAGAGAAGTCTGAGCCTTTAGCTAAAGCGCGAATTTGTCTTCTGAACACATTACATTTTCAGTCAGTGCAGGTTATGGAAGACTAGCTATTACAATCAGTCTTGTTTATCAGTCTTGTTTCTCCTTTAGCAAAACATCTCCGGAAATACTGGTCTCAATCAGGTCAGAATCAAAGGATAGGATAAGATCCTTTATATAGAAATTCTAATGATCCTCTGGTTTTATCCACACAAATAGGTGTCGAGTGAAATGCTTTCTCTTGGCTATGCTTTTTCCGCTTTGGCAGGCCCCATTTTTATCATTTTTCCCTTGTATCTATCATATGTTCATCAAGTTGAACCTTCGGAAGCTGTGCAATATTTGGATTACATCATCGTTAGTAAGAAGTTCAATTGTTCAGAAGAATCGCCTCGTTTCACCGGTATATTTGTTTCTCCGAGCTAAAATAAAAGTAGGAAACAACATTACCCTAAAAGTAACTAAACAATTGCTGAACATACATAATTGAATCGATACATACAATTGGACATACACCGGTTACTAAATCCACCGGGAATTCTGCATGCATCTCTCACTAGACTTCACTCACATACTTCAATTGAAGTATTCTCATCCTGACCTTGTGTGGTTGCTATCGGTGAGGAACAGGTAGAAGAAACAGGCGAAGTTGCAGAACGAGCTTTTTCCAGAGACTGCAGCTTACTTTGTAAAATTGAAACTTTTAGCGACAGAAGTTCCAGCAATTTGAAAAACTGACTCAAATTCTTCGCTTCTATCTTCTTATCTGGCCCTTGCTGCAGATTCGCTTGTATCTTGTCAACAACTTCAGTCGCGATCTTCAAGTGGGTAGGTTGGGCTAATTTCTCACGTTCGTAATTCTTAATTTTCTTTAATATCCAGGGATAAAAATAATATTTATCCGCATAACACCATGCATCACGAAAACTCATATTGTTAACTTTCCTTACTTCTTCACCTACACATTTAATATGCATGATATAATATAAGATATCTTGAGACAAGATTGTACAAAACAAGGCATCTGAATTGATGGTTGATTCGAGGAAAGGGAAGGAAATATGTATCGATTCTGATTCAGAATACTTTGTGGCTTCCTCCTCTGCCTTAATTTCTTCTTCATCTTGACTTGGTGATGTCTCTACCAAAGAACTTGCTTCAGCATACTTTAACGATATCCCCTTTAATTTAATTTTCCCAGTTGAGAAATCCTCATATAATTTCTCCCAAATTGACAATCTATCGAAGGTCCGGCAACTGGCATCGCAGAACAATCTCTGTCTCGTTTCTTGAATATAGAGCTCTTGAAAAACATTCCTTTTGCCGGTAGGAGGAATCGGCCATCTCTTAATATTTTCACTTTTATACCTGCTGTCGCCCGTTAGAAGGAATAGAATTTTACCGTATACAGGATACGGGTGGAAATAGTAGTTAGGCTCGAATGACCAGCTAACCCTCCTTCCCCATATCTCTTCTGATTGCTTCGGATCAACGAACTTCTGTAAGGCCTGGATCATTCCGTCGGAGACTGTATACATCGATTCTGTTGCGGCAAGATCAAAAACATCGGTAATATGCTTTATAAAAAGATTCATCTTGGCTTTTTGTTCTTCTCTCGAATTTGCTGTGCTATCCTCGAAATTGGTGTTGAGATCGCTCATCGGTTTCGCGACGGCTTCGATAGCTTCCCAGAATTTGCTATAGTTTGTGTTTTCTCCTCTGTCTTCCTTGTTCGCGCCATTGTCAATCTCCAATATCTTGTCCGCTTGCAACGCTAGTTTATCCAAATCTTTTACTTCGCTGATAACCAATATATCCCGTACATACAGCGGAAGTACTTCGAGGAAAAGTGTTCGCAATACCGCGTCGGTACATTTTCCTGCTGCCAGATTTGTCAGTCTCTGCAGAACGAGCGACGGTTTCTCGTCTCTTCTTAATTTATACCCTCGCAGCTGTTCCCTTAACTGATTCATTTCTTCAAACAATGTTATGATTCTCAGCTTGAGCGCCTCATACCTTTTTCTGCCCGATCGATTGACTATGTCTAAAACAAGTTGCATCATCTCTGGCTCCAAGTTACCTATGATATAACAGTACTTGGTATAGTCATTTTTTATCTGATTTGCGGCAAAAAGCGATTCCACGAATGAGAACCATTGTCGTGGATTTTCCTCCCAGAAGGGAGGAAGTTCCAGGTTGGTTGGGATGATTCTTTCGACAGAATTTTCAGTGAGCATGCGAATTCCTAATGCTTTGAAATCCTCATTCATGGTCTCGATCTCTGCTGACGTATGCGGCAGTTCAGAATATTCTGATGACACGAGGTCGTCGGCTGCGTGCATTCGCGCATCAGTATTATCAATTAGCGTCACCATTCGCGTTGGAGTTGACCCGCTCATTTCTTCTCCTGAATCGTAGCTGTGGACTATCCTTGTCTTCTACACCAGTAGCTAACCTGTTCCCTTCTTTCCGCGCTTCCTCAATCGTAGCTGTGGACTATCCTGTCTTCTACACCAGTAGCTAACCTGTTCCCTTCTTTCCGCGCTTCCTCAATCGTAGCTGTGGACTATCCTGTCTTCTACACCAGTATCTAACCTTTTCTCTTCTTTCCGCGCCAACTTGTATGCTACCACAATTTCCACGTGGCAATAGGTTGTTCGTGTTGCCTGCACCGCCCGTTGGCATTTCTTTAAAAAGAAGAGCTGTCATTGGATATCGCATTCGTATATTTCCACTGCGCGCAGAGCCTAAGATTCCGAGAAATGAACCAATCAAAGTCAATGATTTTCTTTGAGATCGAAAATAACCTTCTATGACTGGCCAATTTCTTGCGTCTTTACGATTAGGCAACTAATGCAGAATCAGCTTTAAATGTAAGTAGCCTTAAGTTCAGATTATGAATATCGGCTTTAATATATGTCCCAATGACAAAGCGAACTTTTTATTTTCAAGTAATTCCATCGAATGACAAGTGAGAGGACGTTTTTACTCACGCGTAAAACTAAAACGACTCAAGAGTAAATAAGATGATTTTTATTATTTTACACCACGACTCGGCCGGTGGCAAGTCAAAAGAGCCTTTATTTTTCAGCAGCACAACAACGACGGAACGGACAAGCCATTATATCTTACGTTTGTTCGCTGCTGGAAAATCGCGACGATTGTAAGAGCTATTTTCCAGTGCCGTAGACACGGGAAATTGAGCTCTGCAATAATTCGCACACCGGTTTCTCGATGCCCCGTATAGTTGAGTACAGTTGAAGACAAAAGGATGCGGCTCTCCTGATACGTCACGGCGCTGCGTTGGTGGATCGTCATCAGCCGAGCGAAGGGGAAAGATTAGAGAGAGAGAGAGAGAGAGGGAGAGAGAAAGAAGAAGATGGAGAAAGAAAAGTAGAGAGCGTTTCGAAAGCACTTGTCAGCGAGACAGTTTCGTCGGGAATAATGCCACGGTGAGCCATCAGTATCCGTATTTCGCGACCGCAAAACTCTCGCCTATCGTAAGAAACGATAACGCGGCTCTTTAAACAGCGCTCGCTATCACGTCACTCCTGCTTCTTATCGCTACACGCGGCGTTACATTACGTTCGTACTGGCCAGTAGCGTACGCATCACGCACGACAGAGCATTTGTCGGGAATCTCGATGTCCGTCCAATATACTCGATTCGGAATGTCACGGGGCGAGCCGCGCGACAGACAGTAGTAGACGCTCCCCGAACGGACGTCTCGAGAGACAGAGAGTGGTTATTCACCTCGACGATCGAGCGAAAGTCACCGGTTGTGTTTAGGTCCGAGCGTATTACTTGACAGTCAGAACGTGCACACACGTATATGTGTGCCGTTACACTTTGTCGAAGGATTATCAGTGCAAATGACGAGTTTTCGCAATTTACAAATTATGATATCACGACGTGCTAAGAATAACCCTTTCTCTTGGTTCTAGATGTCACACTGCGGTAAGAACAGCTGCGATCGGAGGACTGCGGTGATTGATCATGAGAGGCAGTTTCAGGAGGACTTGGAACGAGCCCAGGCACTTAGCTTGGAAAGCCTGGCCCTGGAGAAATTTAGGCTGCAGAAGCTGCAATCCAACGTGCAACAGTTGTGCTTCGGACAAAATAGTGTGTGCAATACAAATAGTGCGGCATCGGAGACAGATGGGTGTTCGCAAGGAGAGAGGTAAATTCATTGCGATGTATTTATTCGCTCATTTTCTTAGTTTAGCGTGATCATATATGACAGTAAGTATTGGTATACCCAATAAGATTTGTGACAACTTTTACCATGATCCAAAGGATAGAATATGTAATAATTGTGCGAGAATAATCAAGTGAAACCTCACTGTCCGATTTTTATAGATCCCAGTGCAGAAGTCGACCAAGACCGGGATCTTTCAACACAAATCAAAAGAACGCCGTGATATTGGCACCGCCGCCTCCAATACCATGTAGGAGAAATTCAACGACCGCCGCAGCCAGTCAAAATCCCTCTACCGACCTGATCAACTTTACGAGCCCTGTGAAGCAGGATAATCTAGCCGAATATTGCTCCACACCACCTCCACCGCCACCGTAATATATTTCGCTTGCGCGCGCAAGCGTTCTGATAAAACGCGCTGATATATTCGTTTTGATAATTTTTCACACACATACATATGCAATACCTTGGTTCTTAATACATATTATAAATATATTGTTCCAGAAAAGCACCGGTAGAGCCTAAATGGGATACTCACCCGTCTTTGCTAAAGAGACAGTCAAGAGTGTCACGAAGTAATAGCTCAGTCGGCGCATATCATTCCAGAGATTTCAGATATCATTCTCTTTCTCCAGGCCCGCGATCTTCCACGGCACCGTGTACACCAGGAACGCCAGGAATTAGTCCTATCATGTCGAGAGCTAGTAGCGTTAGCAACAATGTACCTGATATCGCACCACAGGTAGTTGACATTTCCGTAGGATCTAAGATGTCTCTTCTTCTAAAAAGAAAAAGCGAACATTTCCGAAGCAGAACTTTTTTTTTCTTTTCCTTCTTTTTTCTTCGTTTGGCCGGTAAAACTTATCCGGAATCGAATATGGAGTGCCTGGTTAAAATGCAGTTTTTCTTGCAGCCGGCATGGAAGTCAATTACATTTAAGCATTTTTTCTTCAGACAGGTATTACCATATCTGACGATGCGGCGGAACATGCGCTCATTCCTTTTTTCACGATAATGACTTTAGAGATAGAAATCGGTAGTAACGTTAGTCGCTACATTATTTAAAAAAATGGTCATAAGAAGCGTTTTTCTTTTCTTTTTATATCATTTAGTATAACTGAATTATTATATCAATATTTTATACATAATGTCTACACAAAATAATGTCAAATAGGTTCACGTTTTTCACCTATTTTCCAGCGAATTCAAAGGTATTTTCGTTACATATTGTACTGTTATTGCTAATTTCTCGAGCGAGGAATGTTCATCAATGCATGACGAATGAAACGCTATCTTGACGGTTGCATATTTCTTTTCTAGATTCCTCCATTGCCCATGAATTACAGACCAACTGTTGCGCCTGCTATATGCGCGCCGTCAATATCAACATTCTGTATGGACGACGAACAAACGTTGAACGTGCTGAAAGTGATAGAGAAGAAGCCAAATAGCAATCTGATAGATTTGAGTAATTTCGAGCATACGGAGGACAAAACAAATGTACGAGTTAGCGTACTGGAAGCGTTTGATCCATTACTCATAAAGACTGACAGTAGAAATGATGCCGCGCAAGATTATAAAGATGGTCAGTCGTAAAATTCTGTAGTTTTTAATGAATTATTATTAATGTTGCATACGAAACGCTACACGTTAAGATCTAAATATAATGCGGCTAAAATATTATCTGCATGCAAAATATGTATATAATAAATAAGTGGATTTTGTTACTCCGTCGTTACCAGAGACTAATTTTTACAGACTCGCAATCGCAAGTTAGCGGCACCGTATACGACCCGTTCGATCCGTTCGATTATATGTACAGCACAAACGAAAGCGCCAACTCGGATCCAGTTTACGTCGCCGTGGAGAAATCCGCGAAATCGCCGGCTATATCGCCGGCTGCACCACCTCCATTACCACCTCGGAATTCGTCTGCATGGAACACCATAGAGAGACGGAAAACTTCTCTGGATCGTCGAGTAAATTTCGAACAATTCTGTTTTTCCCTTTTTCTTTCTTTGACGAAACAACTATTTTACGTCTCGACATTTGCTTCCAGCAAAAGCGTCAAACACGTTTGTACGAGAACGTAACGGTCATAAAAACCAGGTCTTCTCTTCACGATTGTGACTTGAAGGCGTTCCACAAGATGATCAGGTCTGTGCGAGGTTGGTAGGAAACGACGGTTTTGTCACACATCTTTCGCATCGTCAATCGTAATCTTCGTTGCTCACAATGTAAAAATCATTTAAGGCGAATTTCCGTTCAATAATCCCACTACGAATATCGGCTACGTTGTGAGCCCGATGATGGAGAACTTGTACCCAGACGGTACCAGTATAAAATTGGTAGTTCATCCGCAATTGGCCAATAGCGATAAAGACCCGGCGCCATCTATCTCCTTCACCTGTAATGGTAAGTTAAATGGATTTATTTACGAAACGCCGATTATCGCCCCGTATCTATGTTGTGTCACTTTAAACGCTCTCAATTTCAGTGAATTGCAGCGTCGAACATGTTATTCTGAACGTCGCCTGCTCCCTGGAGGATGAGGATACAGTGAACGTGGAAAAGTATTGTTTGAGAGTATGGGGACTGGCTGAATACCTTGCGCCTAACACAACCTTAGCACAATACGAATACATACATCAGTGTATAAAGTTAGAAAAGGACATCGAATTAGCTATAATGAGCAGGTCACAAATTAAACAATCCATTGCTCGAACGGTCGGTATCATGCATACACATATATAAGCATTCAAACATCTCACGTTGCTCACGCTGCTTTCTCTATTTCAGCTGCATGACGATAATCGCGATCAGTGTTTAAAATTGGAAGATATTCTGCCGAACGAGCCGTTACAACCTATTTCATACGATACACTACTTATTCTACTAGGTACATCTCTACATACACATAGAACAAGTATATATGTATAAGAATTTGGTTTCTATTGCATCGTCGTGCGTTTACAGAAACGGTGGAGAAGGAAATGGAGCGCGTAGAGACTGCAGCGATACAATTGGCCACGACGAATCAAGGTTCCAGCCTGCTACCTCAGCTCCAACCACGCGGCGTAGTGCAGGCGGTAAAAGCGGTGTGCGCCTTAATGGGAAGCATCGAGACGTTCGAGATCACAGAGGCAGTTGACAATTTCGTGAATGCCTGCTGCCAGTTTCTGCCGCAAGCTCACACAGCCAATATAGAGTGTAAGAAGCCGGAGATCCTGCACGAGGACGGTGATTACGCTGTTGTTACTTTGAGAAAGAAGTTTCCGGACGTGATCGCCTCGCACTGTCACAAAATCCGCGACGCTGTTCAAGAACTCGTCGAAACCTACTGTCACGCGTTCAGGGTGGACTTTCAGTTGAACAGCAAAGGAGAGTTTCCGACAAGTAAGAAGAGGGTTAAACTCTTTGATATGTAGTCAGTCACAACTGAAAAGTCGCAGTCCTTTGATATAAGTTTCGAAACGCATTCCAATAGGAGAATGTGTGTTTTAGTCATTCTCAGAAGGTATACTTACCGAAATGCATCGAAAACAAGTATCGAAACCTTTTCGTGGCCGACCATATATATAATATGCAAATTGTTGCGTTTCTGTTCAACAGACACGCTAGTCTCGTCAGAAGTGATCGATACTATTCTGGTGCGTGTCGGAGCACTGCACAGACTACCGAACTCGTGGAAACACGACGATTATATAGTGGCAGCTCAGATCTTTCATGGAACCAGGCCGGTGGGGAACCCCGTCTTGTCGGAACCGACGGCAGTCAGCACGAATTTTTACCCGAGAATTTTGTTTAACACGTGGTAAGCGTTTAGAATACACTCGTGACGACTTTCTCGCGCGTGCGATCAATCCAATCAAAGTGATCTCATTCGCACAAGGTTGGAATTTCGCGGGATAAGTGTGTGTCAAGTGCCGAGGGAAGCCAGACTCGTGCTGGTTCTCTACGGCCGCACTTTGCAGCCGGCCGAGCACGAGTCGAACTCCTCGGCGGAGAACTCGATGCAGAAAGAGGAGCTTGGATGGGGCGCCATACAGTTCTTCGATCACGACGGGTAAGTAATGGCTATCGTTCAGCATTATCTTCACGTCACCTGCTATGGTTTCTTTACACAGCGTTATGAGCCAAGGGAGCTTCTTTCTGTCCCTCTGGCCAGCCATCGCAGACAGGAGACTAGGCCCGGCGCCGGCGCCCGGAATTCACCCGCACGGCGACACTCACCCCATCGTGGGATTAGAATTGCCCGATTACGGAGGGAAGGTATTGTTCCCCACCGAATTGAGGGATCACGACGTCGAGTCGCTCGACTTCAATTCGCTGGATCAAAATACGCAGGAGCTACTGATAGACATCACGCAGCAAGACACGTTTTCGAGGTACACGCGCCCTTTAGTAACGCTCGAGAGATCTCATTTCACGAGATTCCTCTTTCTCCAGGCCGCCTATCGACGAAAGGGAGATTCTGTGGGAGAAGAGACACTACTTACACGACAGGCCCGAAGCTCTGCCCAAAGTATTATTAGCCGCGCATAGCTGGGACTGGGCGTGCTTGCCGGATCTACACGCGTCGCTCCGAGTTTGGAGTCCGCTGCCTCCGGTGCAGGCCTTGCAGTTGCTCTTGCCGTGGTACGCTTGTCGTGGTAATCATTTTTTCCGATCACCGCTGTTGTTTATTCCCTTTTCTCTCCCCGTCACAGTTTCCCGGACATGAAGGTCAGAGAAATGGCAGTCGGGTGGATCCGCGAGCTGAGCAACGACGAATTGGTGGATTATCTGCCGCAGTTGCTGCAAGCGATGAAGCACGAGACGTACGAGGCTTCACCCCTGACGCGATTTCTATTGGAGCGTGCCTTACTTTCACCGCGAGTGGCTCATCATATCTACTGGTTGTTAACTCAAGCGCTACCGGGACAAAGTCCTCAGGTAACCGTTATTAATCGCTTTTAGCATAACTATTTGGAATACCAGCGATTTATTGTCAAACGATAGTACGATTTATCAACAACTGTTCTGTGTTAGATACGTTACAACTTTTCTTCCATAGAATTCTGCCGAGATCGCCGCGGAAGATGACAAAGCTATCAGTTATGCTCGTTATCACCGGAGACTGCAGTTAATGTTAAGAGCATTATTGGATGTTATCGGAGATGCGCTGAGAAATAGTTTCCTTACTCAACAATTGTTAGTTAAAGTACGTCGCAATTTTATCGAATATATATGTGTGTGTGTGTGTATATAAGTTACGATTTATATGCATTATTTGTATAGAATCTTCACGAGGTAGCTGAAAATATCAAAGTCACGAAGGAATCGTTGCGCATGGAAACGCTGAAGAGCGGCTTGCAAAATATACACTGCCAGTTGATGGAGGACGACGGCACGTGTCTGCCGTTGTCCCCCAGTAAGTTAGCGTTCGGCATCAATGTATCGACATGTTCCTATTTCTCGTCGTTCACTCTCCCATTGAAAATTAACTTCATCGGTTGTGACAGTGTGATAAGCCCGGCGATCTTCAAGGTGCGTTTGTGATCGACACACCGCATTTTCCGAGGTTCACACGTATCCTATTCTTTTTTCTCACAGGTCGGTGACGATTTACAGCAGGATATGCTGACCCTCCAGATGGTACGTATTATGGACAAGTTGTGGTTGAAGGAGGGTCTCGATTTAAAAATGGTCACTTTCACCTGCGTGCCGACCGGCCCCAAGCGTGGAATGATAGAGATGGTGACGAATGCGGAAACGTTGCGGAAAATTCAAGTCGAATTCGGTCTGACCGGTTCGTTCAAGGATCGGCCGATCGCGGAGTGGCTGGCCAAGCACAATCCCTCGGAATTGGAGTACGAGAGAGCGGTGGAGAATTTCACAGCGTCTTGCGCCGGTTACAGTGTCGCGACTTATATCTTAGGGATTTGCGACAGGCATAACGATAATATCATGCTGAAAACGTCCGGTCATTTGTTTCATATTGATTTCGGCAAGTTCCTTGGCGACGCACAAATGTTCGGGAACTTCAAAAGGTGAGTGTATTTTTCTTTGAATTCGAGAGAGGTGCGTAATGTTACGTATCATATTTTTCATCATAGAGACAGAACGCCGTTTGTGCTGACGTCGGACATGGCATACGTTATAAATGGAGGGGACAAACCCTCGGCGAAATTTCACCATTTTGTAGACTTGTGCTGTCAAGCGTTCAATGTAGTCCGAAAGCATGGAAATCTTATTCTTCATCTGTTTGGACTGGTATGTTATGATTTCACAAACATCACGGTAAGGCTTATGTAAAAGAATCATTTTTTTTACTATGATCTTTCAAAAATAGAATTCGATTTCGCCTAAGATATATATAAATAATAACGCAGTCGGTAAATTTCCCACGTTTTTCATCAATTTCGACATTTTAAACGGCGTGTCATCAGCTACAAGAGCAGAGGCACGCAGATTATACAATCGAAGCTTATCAACGTGAGACGGAATCGCATGAATGAATGAGTCGTTCGATTAAAAGATACAGAATCTTTAGCACGATTCTGGAGTAATTGTTTTGCGTAATCCGGCAGACTGGTTATATCGTGTGTTAGTGTAATGCGCTTGCAGTGGAAGAATTCACGAGTTATGTGGTCTACCAGTCCGTTATGAAAACAACGAAACCACAACGGAAGAACTTATCCATATGCTTTATCAGAAAGCGGACCGCGTATCGCCTGAAACTATATACGCTGTACTTAATTAGCCGTTTATCGTTCGTGCTCTTGTAATATCGTATGCTGCAGCAGTCTGAGTCAATCGTTTTGTGAGTGCGGTGCCGTTGGGAACGGGGATAAAAATAAGAGAAGCCGTTGCGAGGGGATTTTTTTTTTTCATTAGAGAATATTCGAAAGATAAAGCACAATGGACGAGCTGATATCTCAAAAGAACTTCCTCAGTGATCTCCATAAACAAGATCTGATAGCGCGGAAACTTCACGATATCGAGATAAAGGATCACTTGAATCAGGCGCGAATGAACGTATACACCACTTCGCAGATGACCTCGTCCGGTATTCCCGGCGTGACGATGGACGCGGTCAGTTATGTGCAGAAAGCCCTCCTGCCCGGGCAAACGAATCCCGAAGCAGCCGCGACCTTCGCCCGGATGATCGAGAGCTCGCTGAAGAGCTGGTTCACGCAGTTCAACTTCTTCCTGCACAACCTGGCGCAGCTTAGATTCTCCGGGGACCATAACGAGGGAGAACTCCTGTCCTTCATCCCGCGCACGTACACGTAAGTTTTTTTATTCCTTGCTTTTTCTCTTAAAAATTGCAAGAGCGAAAAAACGGGAAATTCCAAACCTCTCCGAAGGTATTTACTTCGTAAGTACTTTTATTCGCTTCAAGTGTATTGTAGCGCCCTTCAAGCGCACGATTTTTTAATCACACATTTATTATATATACAATTTTAAACGAGATTTATAACTATTATAACAGAATGCAACAAGAAGGCCAATTAACAAGCGTTCAGGTTCACGGCTATCAGAAACGCTACGATCCGGAAAAATATTACATGTACATTTTGCGGATACAACGGAAAGGCCAAGCGGATCCGACGTATCTGTTCCGGTCATACAAAGAGTTTTGCGAATTCTACCAGAAATTGTGCATACACTTTCCGCTTGCCAAGGTGACCAGGTAAGAATCACTTATTCTTCTTTCCGTGCAATGCTTAAAATCAAGTTAAGCGTGTAGATTATAATACATCTATTCTAAGACAAAGGACGCATTATATATAATATTTTTCTCTATATATAATTAAAGCACTGTACATTATATATATATATATATATATATATATATATAAATAACGCGAACAATAAGTAGAAGAATCCGAATTGCTATACGAATATATACGTTTTCCTCGAAATACCTTCACATGTAATACGCAACACATAATTTCGCAACATTGGTCACTTTTCAAATTACTAATTCGGCTTCCTGGCCGAGAAGATCATTTGAAATATGGCTTCGATCTTCATTTATTTGTTCTTCGTGTATCGACGACTGTCTTACCAAGTTTGAATCTTCGATAGATACAGTAGGTTCCTCATTTTTAACTGCATAGTTATTACGTTGCGAATCAATATTCGACGACGACGACGGTGATTGACTCGTAGGATCTTCTTTTGCACGTTGTTTTCTTTCGTTTCTCGTTAAATCACTTGCAATCGAAGAAGACACGGCTGAGAGCGTGTAATCGTTTTTCCGTATTGCCGATGCATTGGATTCAATATACGAAACTTGCCTGTACACACCTGTCATTGTTGAAACTTTATACGCGTCTTTCTTATTTAGCGATAAACGTGCTCGAAACCACTTCAGGCCCATTTTGCAAAATCGATATTATAAACCTTTAAAAATAAATTCTCTATTAGAGACTTAAACTATCTTAAATGATTTCTTAAAATATCTCACAGATAACGCACATAATCTCTCATGAATATTTATAATAATATTGAAATAATATTATATATATACACACAATGTATCTAAATATAATTTACGAAAACTTCAACATACGCTGATCTGTTATTTTAACATATGATCTTAACATATGATAACACTGATGACACATGATTTTAACATATAATAACACTGATCTGTTACTCACTTTTACGAAAAGAAAGTTTCGACAAATTGATGAGTTGTGATCTGATAAATTCCTCGAAGATATTTATCTATTTATTGGATATATAATCTGTAACTAAAATTATATACATATGTACAAAATATCGATACCTTATTATGCGTCTGCAACAATTAATTCTTCGCATAAGGTACGATAAAGTGGCACATAGCATTAATAATTCTACTCCACAGTTAGTATCGATAAACAATTATTTACTCACGATGCGGAAGTGTCGGAGAAGCTGTCATCGCCTCGTAATTATCGTATTAGTGTGATTTCGCAGTACGATATGACCGGAGCATTATCACTTTTGAAGCGTCAATTCAATAATTGCACATTATCACGAACGAAAACTGTACTCTGAAAAGAAAAAAGAAACACGACAAGAAATGAAGGAACGTCGCGTGGCAAAGAGTGCGGAGTATCTTAAGGCACAAAAAGAATCGTCGCGCACAAAGTCGCACCTTTTGATACGCGTTATCTCTCCAGATTGCTCGATATTAGTCAGACATATCTCACATGTTTAGCAGTCTCTTAGTCACGGTATGATTAATTTCAGCACGAATACAAATATTGTAAGGAATAATTGACTCTTTCCGCTCGAATTAATGCTGTATAAATTCATATATGTACTGTAGTATATTTCACGATACCAGCGTTGCTTGGCACGACCATCTCAACTCTGATACGTTATTCATTTATGAAAAGATATCTTCATAAACACACACATACACACATACACACACACACGTTGACGCTTCGAGCGTGAGACACGGGTGTTTACAAATACCGAGATGCGCCATTCATCGTCATTTTAATGACACAAGCTCTGGATTTCCATTTGTTTTGCAGCCTGCCGAGCGGAATAAGCGTCGGGCGTTCCAACATTAAGCAAGTAGCTGACAAACGGCGGGCGGATATAGAAAAGTTCCTCGTGAGTCTGTTCAAAATGGCACCGGAAATATCTCAGAGCGATCTGGTGTACACTTTCTTTCATCCGTTGTTGCGAGATCAGCAGAACGCTGATATTCGTCTGCGTAAAGTCAAAGGTGAGGCTCGACACGTCTTCCGAAAGTTACACCCTCTATATGACAGTTTTAATTTTAAATTTGATCACCTTGTAAGTCTTCTCTCTCTCTCTCCTTTGATGTATCAGTTGGAAACTGGTGGGCCGAAAAGAGAGTCAGAGACAATGCGCAAAACGGCCAGATCAAATTGTCCTTTCACTATGCCCGTGGCACCCTGTCCGTCATGGTTTGCCACGCTCGTGGACTCCCTAAAGTGGCGAACGCTCAAGAACCGAACACGTACGTGAAGGTATACCTCAAGCCCGATCCCACGAAAGCGACCAAACGGAAGACGAAGGTGGTAAAGAAGAACTGTCATCCGTCGTTTATGGAAATGGTGAGGAACAGTTCAATGCGAAAATAAATGTGCGTCAAACAATGAGATACTCGTGTGCAGTTGATTAATTAATTAATCGTTCGTCTCTTTTTTTCCTTCTTATCGCGCAACCAGTTGGAGTACAGAATGCCTCTGGAAGTGATAAAGGAGAGAACGCTAGAAGCGACGATATGGAATCACGATACCTTGCAGGAAAACGAGTTCCTCGGTGGCATAAGTTTGCCGCTCGGACGCCTCGACTTGACGAACGAAACCATCGAGTGGTTCCCGTTGGGTAGCGTGCGATGAAGCGAGTACACACAAAGACTGTTTCAGAGTCAAGTCTCTCAATGCTCATAGAGATTAGAAGTCGTCAGTCACGTCGAGAGATGCGCAACGTATCGCACAATATTAAAAGCTTCTTCATTTATGCACAAGCAGGTTCACCGCGCTTATACTCGCGATAATAAAAGTAATCTTTATTTATGCGAATCGCGTCTGACGGAGCGTCGCTTCGTCCTTAACGGAATAATCTCGCGTTTTACGAAATGAACACACGGTAGGTGTTAAGAAGTATATGTGATATATCCGAGAAACGGTTACATGCAGGGGAAGAGTCAACTTCTTACAAGAGTTGCTGAGGAATATCAAGCATAATAATTATCAAAGTAGAAATATATCCAATTGAAACACTCGTTTGCGCACTTGTTTCTTTCCGTTCAGGGGGGGGGGACCCTTCAAATGGTCACGAGCCGTCGCTCGTGGGCTCGCATGATAATCGATTATGACAGAAGTTGGGTGACAGTATGCACGGTATAAATAGCAGTCCTTTATTTTATTCTTCACGAGTAAGAATATCATAAAAATACTTATGTTTTTTCTGAATCCTGCAGTCGTGACGTCGGATACTCTTCCTGTTACAAGCAATTATCGAATGCGAGCTAGCGAATAGCGGTTCGCAATCTTGCACCGTTTGTTGCGCTTCTAACATTATCGCAAAAGGTTTGTGTAAACTAGGACTGCGAAACAATAATCAGTCTTGAAACAGGTATACAACGAGTATAATTAAGTGAGCATTCCAAGAATCGATTCCAATTAATTTCCAATCGAGCGAGCTTGAATATGCGTGCTGAATGTGATTTTTCTTTCAATATTACAAGCCATAAATAACGACATAGGTTGTAGAATTGTGTTAAACGACTATTTGATCCGCCGATCACGGAATCTGTTGTTTCGACGTAACAATCACTTCACCCATTCGCGTATCAATTTTAGAATTAATTAATTAACCAATCCAAATATCTGTTTCAGAACCGATTGCCATTTCTCACTGCCCTAAAACAAACCGTTGTGCAAACGAGTGTTTACACATGGTTTCAATATGATTTAAACATTTTTCTCGATCTCGCAATTGGGAACGCAACAGAAGGCCTGTTGAGAGAGCCTCACTTCTGGGTATCAATCTAAAACAAGTTCTTTCATTGATTCTCATCGGCTGCCGAATTCCAAATTACATCGAAAAACGATGTAAACTGTTCAAGTTGTAATGAAACTGAGTGTCACGCACACACACGGTCCGTCGCGCAAAGCAATGAAGCTTTTTTCGACGCATTTTGATATCCCGTGTGGCGGACATCAAAACCGCAATTTTTGAACCTTAACATCTTGCAAAACATGAAGCTAAGCATGCCACGATTCATTCATGCGTGTGTATCTCGTGTAATCGTAAATTAAACACAAGAGTGTTTCATGACTGCGTCGCAAAAGTGGAGCACAGAGATAATCGAGCGAAAATACACTGTCAAGTTTTGCTTCGCGAAAGTGCGATGGACACGTGCGAAAACTTATCGGTCTAAACTTTATCTCCAATACAAACTTTTCGATGACGCGAGGAACTGTTTGAGACAGCCAAATTTCATTGATCTCGTGAAAGTTTTCTGTTTCACTTCGGTGACGCAATCGGTAAACTCTTGTCATTGTTGGCAAGATTTCAAGGTTTTTATTTCTCTCTCAAACCGACCGGCGATTTTCAAATACGATGTTGGCACATAGCACTGGTAGAAAAGGTTGGTCTAATTACTTTGGTGACAGATCGCGGTATGTTGAAATATATGGGATAAATAGACATTGGGGAAAATGACGATTACAGCATTGCAGAAATTTAGAATTGTATCGCGTTTATGTATATTTCTCTAATTATATTTTTTGACAGGGAATGTGTCTGAACGTATGAAGAATTCATCGTGAATCGAATAAATTTCCGCACTGGAAGTTTGCTCTTTTAAAGGAATTTTATACACTTATTTATTTATATCACTTTTTACCGACTATCGATGACCAATTGTAAATAGAAGCTAAATGTATTTTATATGACACGCAATTGTGGAATCATTTGTGAATCAGTCATCAAGCTCTAAATTTCTTTTTTGATGACATTTTGTAGTCCGAACGAGAGTTCGCAATTTCCTATCATAAATCTAGTTAAGTGAAAATCGAATTATACATGTATGTATAACATACAACATATAGCGAAATCATGTTTTATGGATTTATGGTGTTATTTTAATATTAGAAGGAAACGTAATTATTTACATAATCGTCTGATGTAATGGCCTCATTTATACGTATTATTAACGAAATTATGTGTAAATATGCTATTAAATTTATGTAATAAATCATCTTTTTGTGTTGCTTCTATACATGTGTTGCTCGAATTGACAAATATCTAAAGTATAGTCTGCGGAATGAATTTCATTCGAGTCCTCTCAAGTTACGAATGGCAAAACAAGCACTCCCTGAAGCACAAATACGTAATATAAATGTCAGGTTTTATTATACGATTGAAACGAATGCATTTCTTCCATTTCCTTCGTCTAATTTCGTATTTTCGAAAAGTATCGAGAGACATTGAATTGAATCTTTTTTGGTACGATTATATAAGCTCACACGATCGCCTATTATATAATAGAACATTCCCAATGAAATTCATATATATATATGTATATAAAGTTGAATATGTGAAAAATATATAATATTACAATAATATTAAATAATATTACGTGCTTATAGGAATTGTTTTTGTTACGATAGAAGGAGGTTACTTGATTCTCCTGATTACGAATATCATAAATATACGATGATCTTTTCCAGATTTTAGACATAATTTGAGAAATGTTTTTGTGTGCAAGACAGGCTCTCTGTAAAAGATTTCCGTCGTAATTCCTGCCGGTCCTTGAATAAATGTTAATATTATTTTCAAGTGATCTCTTGCATCTACTTCTTACTTCTTTCTTGGTAAATATTTTCATTAACATCCGCATTCATCTCGTTGTTTGTAATATTTAACTAAGATATTTTTTCAATTGTTTTCATATCTTTTTAAAAATATTATTTATTTAAAAATATTCATCTTGCTTTACATGTATACACACACCAACGAAATACATATACGATATAAGATATGCAGAAATTTTTATATCCATGATGTAGTCATGGGAGAGATGTCCACATATAGCAAGGCACGAAATAAATTCCAACGAAGGATTGTAGCTAAATGTAGCAGAATATATAGTAGGACATCAGTTTTTCGACTAAGGATGTAACAATCAATGTAGCTCTTTCTCTTTTTACATAATGTAATCATTTTATATAATCACTTTAAAATCATTTTAAACAAATTAAAAAAAAAATGGATTTTTAAATGACGCTCAATTCGCAACCTTTCCTCCTATCTTTCAAGTGCGCCTTTAGTATTTCTAACAATTGTGGTCTTTGTAAATGGGTGTAAGCAATCGACAGCATCTGTAAGGCCTTGCCTTGTACGTGAGTGTTCCCGCTGGAAAAGAGATTGTGTCCCAGCTCTAAACAAGTACCGAAGTCACATTCATCCGCAGCTATCGTCGCCTGTCTCACGATCTCGTCGAGTTGCGTCATTGGCCCTTTCCTTTCGTCCGGAGTGCTAGCATTCTCTATTTTCCTCAATATTTTTTGCAATTCGCCTGTGGTGATAGAATAGTAAAATGGTAGATAAAGTATGTAGTATAAATCAAAACACTCATATGTGTTTAATTGTATCAAATATATAATTTTAAATGAGTTCAATGTAAAATCAAATTGGGAAAATTTCTGAATATCACTGCTATTGGAAAAAGTCTATATCTGAGTACTTACTATCCGTCACTGCTAAATCTCTGTAGCCCAATTGAGTCTTTTTATCATACGGTACTACAATGCCTGCTTTGTGGAAAGTTCGAGCTACGACTTTTCTTTCTCTCGAACGCATGTCTGCGGTATTTTTCTCTAAAGTTATATCATGCTGATTGGCAAAGTTCTTCAGTTGAGAATGCAAACGCATTATGCCAGTCTTCTCGAATGGATTGGCCGATTTTACTTTGCCTTGCAAATAAGTGCTGTAATTTAGGCAACGTAATAATGAATATATATATATATATATAATAATATATATAATAATGAATACATATATATAATAATATATATAATAATGAATACACAAACATATATATATATATATACACATATATACATCACGCCAAATCTTTTCACTCACTCAACAGCACCAAATATGTTTTCTGCAACAGCTTCGAATACACAGTCAACATTACTGCAGTTCTTTGCTACAAATACTGGTTTCTCTGCAACATCATCTTGCCAATAACCAAAATGTAATCCATTCTTGTTGTCACACATTACAGTAGTCTAAAAGAAAAAAGAAATTCTCATAAGTATCAAAACTATATTTTAACTTTGGATCCTTTATAAATATAATTTCAGTGTTAGATATTAATATATCACACATACATGAAATTCTGGCGGATCATAATAATATCTCCAGTGTGCCAAGTATTTTTCCTTATCATTCTTCCTTACTATGCTTTTCATTTTATCCTCTAATACATCATATGGACCCACAAGTTTTAAAGAAGCAGATTTACATGCCAAGAGAGGATTACCTTTTGATATACTTTTACAGAATTCATAAAATTGATAAAAATCTTTTGGCATTTCGACCAAAAATAGTTCCTTGATATTCTTTTGAACATCAACATCAGATACAGATAGATTTTTATCCGTATTAAGCCCAGCAGAGCAATGATACTCTTTAGATTCAGCTGCTTGTGCAACTGTTACATCTTTATCTGATGTTTCCACATTTGTACTTAAATTTTTACTGTCATCTTCATCACTACTTTTTACTTCGTCGCTTTCTGAACTCGAGGAAAAATTGTGCATATTTTTCTTGGGACTCTCGCATGTCTTCTGCAGTTTCTTTGGTGGACTTTTGGACTGTGCTTTTTCTTGATCATCTTTTACAAGATTTCTTTTCGCATTAATAACTAGTATTTCATTATTTTGTTTTGCCTGGAGAACAAATAAAATACACGTCACAATTGCGCATTAATTAAGTGAAATCTTTTGCCCTTTAAAATTATAGATTAATTATACCGTTTCCTTTTTTGGCGGGTGTTTGTACTTGTTGTGATGCTGCGGATTTTTCTGATAACATTTTGCACCGTATCGACAAGGAGTTCGCGGATCATCATTATACAATTTAGATTCAGACATTATGTGAGAAAATTTATTGGTTACGTTTGGTGAACACAACAAATTGACTTTTGAAACGACGAGTGATGAGATAAACACCGAGGTTTTTAGCAGCAGTATCAACCATTGGAAGTCTCAAGGCACCAACAAAATGCTATCGAAAAGCTCGAATTAAGTTGCGTTCAGCAGAGAAAGCGGCCATGCAACTGTTGTGTAAAATTTGTGAATCTGATTGGTGTATATACTCTTAGATTTCACCAAGGTGAAGAGCATACATCAATCGGATACACGAATTTTACAGCAGCTGCTTTCTCTGTTGAACGCAGCCATTGAGATTGGATTGAAACTTGACCAATTAGAGCAAAGTTTACTAACTCATGTTTAGTTCCCGATTTGTCCCTATCCCGAAGAGGGACCAATCGGAAAAAAGCAAGCATTTCGTATCAAGTATATTTTTTAATAACTTTTTCAAAGTGATAGAGAGAAAAATATATATTAGAATTGATGATGAATTGAATTGCTTGAATTGAAGCTTGAATTAATTCTTGCTATTGACTAATAGAGGTCAGTAATTGTGTTATTTCAACATGGCCGAAAGTGACTGTTGATGTATATGAAAATACTATCAATAGGCTTTAATAATCAATATGTGACATTAGATCACAAAGAACACAATTTTTTATTGCATTGAAGATGTCGGGTTTTGTATAAAAAAAAAAAAGACCATTACTTTCTTGCCTCAAAAGGACTTGAATTTTTCTACCGCAGAATCCATGTGTCGTCTGAAAAGTGGGAAAAGGGATTATACCTTCCGAAAGACACCTATTTTGAATAAGATACCGTTCTTTTGAAATAAACGTGTTTTTGTAGTAAGAAACAGCGAGAATTAATTCAAGCACCTAATATATTAATTTTTTCTGTTTGCGATAACATATAATTTTAAAATTTATATAAGATATACTACTATATAGTAATATTACACTATATTATGTGTAAACTTGAAATTCCAACATTGTTCCGCGTAATCAGAAAAGGATGAATCTTCTATTTATATAACCACAATTGATCTTTATTATTCAGTAACATTCTTTAACAAATTGTACAGTTTCGTATGTATAGTTACATATAATGTATAGTATGGATAAAGTAATAATAGAATCAATATATACTACATAAGACAATAATTGAAATGTAATAAAAAAAATCTGAGATTACTCGTGAATCAAGTTTGTCTAATTAGAATATATTGAATCCCTTCGCTGCTCGTATAGAAAGCTTCGAATGAATCGTATAGAAAGCTTTTCGAATGAACCTCCGAAATCATAAGTGTATGCCTCTTCTTCCTCCCTTTTTCTTATTTTCAAGATAAACTGATTTTTCCCCCGACGTCATTTGATTGAGAAAAGAATAATCATTATAGCAAACGAGCAACTTATCCTAAACCAACGCGGCACAGAATTGATTCCTCCTTTCACGTTACACGTAGATAGGTATTGGCCATATTATCGTTATTAAAAAAATGTATCTTATCATTTTACGCGAGGAATGTTTATGCTACCGCTCGTGCCTCCGGCAGAAAGCTTTCCCAGTACTTGATAAGTTGATTCTGATGTTGCAGCATCGACTCCAGATACTCGATCAGTTGCTTCTTGAAGTCTTGCACCCTAACCAACTCGAAGCGTTCCACCTCTTCCTTTATCATCTTCGAGATATTGTCAAATTCCTCCTGGCCTCTGTCCACCTTCGCCTCCCACTCTATAACCTCGGTAGCTGCTTGACTCGTCTTGTCCGTTCGTCCGGATTGCTCGAGTCTCGCTTTCTGCTCGCGCTTCTTGTTCAGCATCAATTGAGCGTGCTGCCAATTTTGAAAGACTTTCACCCTCTCGTGAAAAACATCCTGCAAAACACATCGCGTCGCGTGAAGAAACTTGCGTATCGAGAGAATGTAAATATGCAAAATAATAAACAGACTTTAATTGCACCGATGAGCGCAACATAATCCCTCAGCATTTCTCCCAATTGATAGAGATCACTGTTGCTCTGCGTTTTCCTGATGGCCTCCACTTTCTCCAACGTTTCCGCCAACTGCGCCAGCGCTCGGCCGAGAGACGCTCCCGGCTCGCCGTGGCCGAGAACGGCGATCGACTTTGCCGTAGCGCCGGTGCAGTTTGCCAATTCCCTCCTTTGATTTGTTAAGGAGTCCACTGCGGAGTGCAGAGCGCGTAACTGTATATCGAGGGAATCTATCTGCGACGTCTTCTCTTCGAACCACTGCAAAACAACGTGTTTATCCAATTTATTTCTCTTCGAGAAATCATAATAATATATGCCAAGTATTTTTTGAAGTTCGAAAATAATCATACACAGCGATATTCAGATTATATAATTTACAATTCGTACGACCAACAATATGGATTGAGCTGCCACATGGAAGCTTCCATTGCAATTACATTACATCGCAACATTGCAGAGACGTTAGAGAGACGTACTATTGCAATATTAATGCCGAAACGATCTCTGGCAACGTTGCAGAAATACTATAAAAAAAAAATTGACTTTCTATTCCCACACAACAACGTTGCCGAGACGATCTTAAGCGTTGGATCTATGTTGATTCTTCTACATTGGTTGTTCATATTGCTACAAACCATGGTTGGATGGTTTCACACCCGAGAAAGAATTCAGAGACATCCTGTATAAATAATACGCCTTTTCATAAGTATTTTTAAAACATTGAAACAACGCTTCGTATAAATATTATTCGTTTGTTGTTAATAATTAAGCGATATGCTTAAATGCCACACAGATCATTTTTTACACGAAGTATTGACCTCGATGATCGAATAATGATTCCATCGACAACTTGATAATTCGACAACTCTAAATAGCCCTCATTGAAAAAACTATCATTTCAACGAAATTTTAATATACGAAGAAACTGACTTTTGTCAGAAATATAAGGAGTAACAAACATACATCATCCAAGTATATGTAGTGACAAAGATATCGTCATAGTCGTTGGACTCAGTGCCTGCCGTTGACAATATTTCCTAAATGTTGCAATGCAACGTTACTATGTTTCATTGCAATGTTTCTGAGGACGGACATTACAACCTTACGGCAACATTATTGCAGTAACATTTCGCAACATATATGTACATTACAATGTCCCTGCATCCTTTCTATGCTTTACGGGTTAAAATACTATTAAATAACACGCGCACATATCATTGATTCTAAGTGAACGTACCTTACCCTCCTATTGCAAGCAACAAAAAATCATTTCACAATACCTCGTAGGAAGTACATGCAAGTAAAATACGTGTTCACGTTGAAAAAAAACTCTCACCATGTCGCTCTCATCCATCTTATACGTTATCTTGTTAACCGTCTCGCCGACCTTATTGAAAAGCCGCATTACTCCTTTACCGCTCAATGCGGACGTATTGGTAGCTTTAGGCAATTCTACATCTGTTTAAAAGGATACATTCAGAAAAATCGTGTGTAACTTGTTAAAAAAATATATTTGTTATGGTCGAAATAAAGCTAATTGATGTAAGAAAAAAATGCCGATTTCAGGCTTTGGCCTGCACACACTGTACTCACCAGCCTCCAGAAATTCTCTGAAATCAGGGTCGATGCTCAGAACAGGATGTGCGGCTGTTCTGTTTAGATACCTCTCGAGAGCCGCTCTACGCCGTTCGATGAATTCGGTAGAACTCGAATTTTGCTCTTGACTCTTGTCTCCGGACATTTTAATTTTCGTCGTTCCTACAAACGCGATTCACACAGTTCCTTCACAACTTTTCTATAACAGTGAGGAAACTGGAAAGAGAGAGGGGGAAAATAGTATGTTTCCCTACCGATAACACTTTTCTCCGGGGCCGGTGGAATTATCCTGCCATTCCTGAGATACTTCTCCGTCAATTTGTCGTGGAGTCCTAGGAAATCACTGAAACGCCTAATTACGCTAAAATGCCTCTTCTTAAATATAAGCATGTTCGTTCTTGTTTCAACTTTATACGCGACGTAGGCACCCATCCCATCTCCTATCTTCTGAGGAGAAGTGACCGTGATCTTCAAGAAAACTTCGGACGTATCTGTTGGGACCTGTATACAGGCATAGTGATAATAATTCAACAACTCTTCACAAAGAATATAATATACACGTACCTCCTCTAAAGAGCGAGATTGTATGACGCTCGAGGATAGCATATCGGCGTTATCGTTGATAGGAACATCATGAAGATCGCCGATGTCCGTATTCATTGGTCCCAACGGAGGACTCAAAGGACCTGGCGCTGGGCTGGACACGGAGGAGAAGGAATTCTCTTCCGGCGCATCTCGCAATGACAGTTTCGGCAATTCTGCTTGAATCTTAGATACTCCGTTATAAGGCGAGGCATCATCCAATTGATTTTGCTCCTGCAATTGCGAACATATCATTAGCAAGCCTATTTTGTAGTATCACACTGTATCTCTTCTCATTATAAGATAACACCGCAATATGTCCGATCTCAATGTCAAGTGAGAGGTCTGCCCGCAAAGTTGTTTATTGCGATGATAACATATTCTGCACATTTACTATCTAAATGCTGACCAAACGGTCATCATTATTGCGTCGAAAATTTCTGAATGATATATTGTTATTAGCTTCGTATGTGTATCTATATTTCTCGAACTAGTACAGCCAGTTCGGTTAAGAAGAATAACACTACAGATGTGTTAAGTAGATTACATAATAATAATTCCCTCTAGGTTACAGTTATTTTTAGAGGTATATAAGCATCGATACTGCGGAACTCGGTTGCAGCATTTATCAGAAGAACATAAGTGTATCCATAAAAGTTGAAGATCAAGCAGAAGTTGGGAAGGACATCCTAAAGCTACAAAAGTCAAGCGAATCAAAGCCGACTCCAAGCTGAAGTTGTTAAAAACATGGTGGTAAAATAATAGTCTAATTTTTTAAGAAAAAGTTTCTCTCCTCCGGATTCTTTCCAACCGTTAAACAAACATTCGCCTTTCTTCCTTGTATCCAATATATTGCTCTGGCAGTATAGCGATCAGAAACGCATTTTGACCAGAGGACGAGAGTGATTACGACCTCGACGAGTTCGTGGCTTACTTGTGGCTGCGAGAAAAACATATTCATGTAATTATCGTGCTTTTTTTAATGTTAAAAGTAAACATACAAGTCGTCTTGTCGCGTGTTACCGAGGTCGCGGTGTTCGTCGAGGTCACAATTGGTCACCCCGGTTCCCCGAGTTCTCTCGCATATTTCGAACGATACCTGCACTGCGGACGCGAAAATATCCTCGTCGTCGTCCTCCAGGTCGTCCAATTTCGTCTCGTTGGTATCGAACAGCGGCGGTGATTCCGTCATATCAGCCATCTTAACGATTCTGTCAAGTGCAGAAGCGCAGTACAACGACGATGGTTACGCGCTCGTTGTTCCACCGGGATCGGCCCCCTTGACGACGATAACGCCCAACGTCAACGATTGTTATCGGTGAAAGTCGACCTCCCCCAGCACGAAGCTTCCGATAGACGGACGTCGTTTGTTAAAATTTCATTGTCTTTTACGCGACGTGTGTCAAAAAGCGGCAATTGTTCGTTTCAACTGCACTGTCTCGCGCTGTCTGCACTTAAAGCGAAAACTCGGAGAGAGAGGAAATTGTAGCCAACAAAATGCAAGCCGCCATTTTCCCTTCAAATTGCCCGTCAAATTTCAAATACGAAACAACGCCGAACGGATGTCCCTTTCACTACTTGATATAAAAAATTCCTCGACGAGCAAACCGAAGAGGATTGTCGCTTATAGTATCTTTCTAATGCTTAACGTTTGACTGCGTTCCGAAATTTATTAAAAATCTATAATTTATGTCACGTACACTATAGATTTTCAGTACTGGTAATGGATATTGGTACGCAGCCTTTGTTAATCAATTAGAAATTAGGGATGGTCGACAGTAAGAAATATCGATATTCCATATCGGTATATATCGTAAGTAAAAATATCGATAGACACCAAAAATGTAAGGTAACATCAACCTAATACATTTTATCGATTTTTTCATTTATGATATATATTGATACGAGACATCGACATTTTGTGTATCGCCCATCCGTATGTAGAAATGAAAAACTTTCGAGAAAAAGAATGAAGAAGCGCGAATAATGTGGATAAATAAAAACTAAAAAGATCAACTGGAAAGTCGATTCCTACTGTACCGAGTGCAGAGGAATACAAATGCGCGCGATGTACCCAATTCGGCACTTCATTTGCAAATGTTTTCGCGCATGCTGTTTTATCGGAGTGTCAAAGCAAAAAATTAGCATTGTAATTTTTTTCAATTGTGTTTGTGAAAACAGTCCAGCAAGAAACACATTATCGTACGTTGGCAAAACTGCGTTGTGAATGAAAAACGCGCGATAATTGGCGTATATTTCTCTCTTCGGTAATTCCGAATATCGGTGCAATCTCTCCTTGCGAATAACGCGCCCTCTGGGATCCACCGTGGATCGCTTCGTTGAATCACACCGGTGACTAGCCGTGACGCGCTTTTGGTGGAGTGCCGTGTCGAGTGCCCCTCAGTATGCGTGTTGTTCTATCGGCGGTTGACATTCAGCGACCTGGTGTCTCGCGTAACTCACACGCGTACGCCCGGATCAATTTCGAATCTCGTGAATTAAAATCTGCGAGCAAACAGCCATCATCAACTGGCACTTTCGCTCAGTCATAAAAGATCTGTGAACTGTAGTCGCGTAGCATTTGACACGACCGTTGGGCCGCACTTTCACAACGTGCAAGATGCAGGTGAGCATTTGAGTTTTTCCAGTTTCGCTTCCGATATCGAGTCTTTCATGTTGCGACCTCATCTCTGTCGAAGGAATTTCTCTCTCTCTCTCTCTCTCTCTCTCGAATGAAAGTGCAACTATAAAAGGAGAGGGGAGGATGCACGTTCAGTTGCTTCTTATGAATATGTAACAGATGCTTCGGCGCGTACGCAAGTATTTCCCGCAGATTTTTTACGTGTCGTCCGCGTCGTTTCGTACGGTTCTTTGTCTTCGAGTCTCATTCTTCGAATTTTTGAAAAACTTAGAAGTCACACGATAAATCGAAAGAAAGAAAACAGTCATGACGGAGTCATTAAAGTGGCAAATTAGTCGCCGTAATAATGGAGAAGTTTCAAACGAATTTAGAATATATTTAAATAACTTTTCCGACATTGTGGATCAACGAAAAATTACTGCTCATTGCTGTTTCTTGTTTTTCTTAATTAAAGCAGAACGTCACGTCGACACACCGATAGAAATATTTTGTTGAAAATATAATGAAAATGTGTTTGAAAATTTCTCCCAATTGATCTCATTTCATTATCATTTTATCAATATTTCCATAACATTATTTTAATTAATTAATTTTAATTAATTAATTAATATTTCAGCAGTTTTTCCTTAATATTCAGTTATATTCATTAAGTTTTATGATATCTAATATATCAATATTTTTTTTTATTTTTCAACAGTATATTCTTCAACTTTCCTTATATTTTATTATTATGTTGCATTTCATAAGAAAAATTATGATTCATTTTTACACATATTCAGTCCATTTTTCAATAACTTCCATTTCATTTTTTATTGATTTTATAGTATAGAATCCGAAGCATAAAATGGAAACACTATCTTAGACAACATATTGTCTAAAATCGGTACATAAAATATCTGCAAAACGTTTTTAAGACATGCGATGTCATTTACAAACGTGTTTAAGATGTCTCAAAGATGTCTTTTAGATACTTTATGTCCTGGTTTTCCTCCTAAAGTCCTTTTGGGGACTCTAAATGTAATAGCTTTATAATTATTATAATNATTTAATTATATTATTAATTAATTATAATTAATATATATATATATATATATAATATTATATTAATATATATAATATATATAATATATATTATTATTATATATATTAATTATAATTAATATAGATAGATACTTATAATAATAAAGAATAGGATTTTATTATTGCTTACTTTATATCAAAGAAACTGTAATAATTGGTCTTTGCGTTTCTGCGAGGTGCCTCAAAAATTAATCCACCATTCTACATTTCTTTTCGTCGAATTTTCTACAGTAAATTCAAACCTATTAATCGTCTTTGTATGATTGCTAATAGATTTTTGTACAATCTCGATTTTTTCGGGTTATCTAACATCTGCATTCAAAAACATATTAACCATAATTGTATATTAATTGTGTCCTTTATACGATATTAATATTTTATATATATTATCTTTCTGATTTTGTGGCGACGCATTACAGTTGATATTTTTCTTTTGAATCAAAGGGAACACTCTCGTTTACTCGATAAATAATAAAAACTCAGTCACGGAGAGCACAGTGAACGCATTGAATAATTTGCAGCAATTTTCAGCTAAAAATAATAGAACAACACGTGGTAACAGCATGTGGTAAGAAGCATCTAAAGTAATTATTGCGAAACATTTAATTACACAGCAACATCTCTGCAAAATGTTATCGATCATGTCCCATTATGTATGGTTTCATTATGCCTTAGATTTTCGTATTTTTCGTTAGTCACATTTTAACATTTTTCTACGTAGATTATATACACAACGAAGAAAATATATTTGTGGAAAGAAAAATGTATAATTCCGTTGGAAAAAAAATTCTCTACTTGTTTATTCTATGTTATCTGTTTTCGACTAATTCGATTTGGGCCAACATTTGTGTCAACTTACGATAATACAATCATGTGGTTACGAAACATTTGATTGGCCTTCAATGTATGCAAAGTTGAGAGAGTTAATTGAACTCTGAATTTTTCTTATATTCCTGACGAGCCAAACAAACAATAACATAAATTTAAAATAGTAAATGAAAATGATATCAGAAGTCGACTCGAGTGTTGATTAATATTATTAAATCGAAATTAAATTATTAGATCTCCATTCCTCTAAAACGGAGAAATACGGCTTCTTTTATACCATATTTCATAGAAAAAGTTCGCGCTCGTATGCGTCGTGACGAAATAAATTGAGTGGAAACATTTATTGTAGTACGCTCGTATTCGTCGTGACAAAGTAAATCGAGTGGAAATATTTATCGTAAATATACTGAGAAATCCATTTAGGTGAAGCAACTAAATTCTTGTTTGACTATGCGCAAACAAATTTTTCGATTATAAGATCCAAGATTTAGTTCTCTAAACCGAAGGTTTGATTCTTTGAAACCTCTGAAACTGCAAAGAACCAAACCTTTTGTTTAGACAACCAAACTTTGGTTATTACAACGAAAAAATTGGTTTGCCCATAGTCAAAGAAGAATTTAGTTGATTCAACTAAATGGATTTCTTAGTGTACGGATAACGGATAACGTAACTTTACGAGCCAGTAGGTCAATCGCAAAACCATAGGATAAATAATATTGATTGATTTCACTTTTCGCTCGCGATAAACGCGACGAAAGAGGAAAAACGAATATAAACTCGACCTTCCGGCGAACAAGGGTGGAATGCGAGTCAGCGCATTTTCGGAGTCGACCGAATCGTTCACCCCACGATCCAAGGGCCCGCAGGGCGGCGAAGGATGGCGAGTGGAAAGAGGGAGGGAGAGGTAAATAAGGTTAGGGGCCCGATGGAGTATCCTATTCGCGCGGTACGCGGCTGGCGGTTACGCGCGCGTAAACCGTGACAGAAGAGGAGGAGAGAGAGAGAGGAATCCCTTCGGTATAACAACGGCCACGATGATGACGACGACGACGACGGTGATGGTGGTAGTCGTGGGCGATGGTATGGTAGTGGTGGGGAAGCAGGGTGGGTAGAGAGAACATTTAATTTGAGCTTGCGAGGAAGTAGTTGATTGGAGATGCGAGGTATGGCCGTACTGCAGTTGTAGCTTGACCGTCGGTCTCGTCGGTTTGTCTTCCGGGGAGATCCCCGCTTCGCCCCGTCTATATATAGAGAAAAAGGAAGAGAGACAGAGATAGGGAGAAAGATAATATAGATATCGTAACCCTTCGGTATATATCAGTTACGCGCGCGAGACGATCGAATTCGCCCGCGCATCTTCTCGGAGTCTCGCGAACATCCCCGATATTGAGCCGGCGTCCGATCATTATAGCGTGATAAACGAATTCATCGATTATCAGGCAGGTGCGTGAGGAGCCGCGAATAGATTAACAACTGGTGGAAGCTCTCGTGAATCCACTTCGGTCCAGCCTACCACGACGATCGCGTATCAAGTTCGAGTGCGCATCCGAGGTACCTCCTCCTTCGAGATACTTTGCACTGTTTTTTGACATTGACATTTCTCGCCAAACTCGTTCTCTTCTTATTCGATCAGGATCCTTAGTTAACTCAGGCGATCTTCGAAGTCGTATCGCTTAGAAAGTTTAGAGAAGAGGTACACGACGGACCAGTCGATACGAAGTGTTTATGAACTCAAGTGCGCGAATTTCGTTTTTCTCTCACATTACGTGACGCACATAGATGCAATTTAATTAACGTATGTAAAAACCCCTATAGTGGAACAATTTAGCCCAGACTGTGTCTGTCGGGATGTAATTAGAACATCGCATCCATCTGGCGCGTCTCTCTCCTGCTTTCTTATCTCGCACCGTTGCAACGTGCGAGGAATTACTAGGTGTATATAAATCATATCAGCAGCACCATTAATACTTTAACGGCCGCACGTCTACGCAATCAAATGTCGCCAGGGGCCGGCAATATTTTCTTCGGCGGTAGCATCATGCACACGTTGTGTGAGCGGACAGTAACAATTGTTCCGGCTATCGCACACATTGTGTGAGCGGCCGTTAAGGTGTTAATTATCTGGTTTTAGAGCTCAACGGTGGCGCTTTAAAAGCGGCGGGGAAAAAAAATTGAAATTTGAACAGGTACTGTAGTTGATTAAATGTAGGGGCCGAGAATTATTTGTGTAAATTAACATTTACTTATGGCTTATAATGGACGAATCACCTTAACGACGAATTGAGACACATGTGAATTTGATTTTATTACCGTATGGAAGCGAGTATTTGCGATTACAGCGTGTATCTAGGTCGCGCTAATAAAACGGAGAAAAGTGCAGGTATCATCACGCAAGAGAAGCGAGAGATCACGCGATTGATAAATATTTATCTTTTTTTTTTTCATTTTGTGGAGACGTTAGGTGAAAACTGTAAACGTCGAAAGATAGATTAATAACTGCATCAACAAAGTCTCGAGTATCGGTAAATAAGTTTGGTTATCATCGAATTGTTTTTTTCATTAAAAGAATTTTATCGCCGATGATGCGATAATCGCAAAATACCAATTAATTTATAGATTGCATTCTTTATCAAGCTGCCTTACAAGTAAATTACCCGAGGACCCTCGCTTTCTTTCGATTTTTTTTCTCTCCCTACAATTCCGCGCATAAAACTGTATTATTACGACGGTCGTCGCTCGAGTGTTGCATCGATCGTCCACTTAACGTACGAAAAATTAGCGGGAAACACACTTCGAGTCTTTATATCGAGCGACATTTCATCAATCATCATCAACCGAAACCATTTAGCGAGATCGTTCGGCATAGCAACGTCAGAGAAGCGTTCGTTCTCCAAGACCGTTTCAGCTACCTGTTGAATTCTCCGGCTTTGAGTAAGCGTACACATGGGAAAACCTCCTGCGAGAAGGTCGCTATCTCGTGAATAATTCGTGCACATTAACCCGGGGAAGTCGAGAAAAAGCGACGCGCAAAAAGCTATAGGAACGCCACAACTGTCGGATACAACGGTAATTCGCCGCGTTATCCGAACCCCCTCGATGTGTTGTCCAACGGGGCAGGAGGAACCCGATCGTTTTCCCCCCTTAATTATTTCATAGTGGATGACCGAGTTGCGCGAGCTCGAAAGTGCGCCACGTCCCCTCCGAAACGCGGATATATTATTATCATGTTTCAGGACGCGCGAGCGCCCGCTAATCAATCCTCCGCAATCTACGACGTTGTTCCGCGTTAATCGTCGGATCTTCCGCCGGGGACGCGAGATTATCATTCTCGGCGTTGTTATTTCTAAGACAGACGAAAGATCGTTTCGAATAATTATAATAATATAGAGCGTGGCTACAGCGAAGAGTTCCGTCTATAAAACTTGCGAGCGAGGCGCGGCGATTCAAAAATTCTTACGCGTCTATGGAAGAAAGATTTCTCTCGAATGATCTTTCGAAAATTTCCTTCTGTTTTCACGTGACTTATCGTACTGGTGTTGCAAAAAGCTTTGGAATTTTGTGTTTACATCTTTTCGATATCCATCATGATAAAAATACGAAAAGCCAGATTTTTCTAGAAATTGAGTTTTCATTCTTGGAATTGTTCCTCAGCTAACAGAAGCAGTAACCGTGCCATCAAGTTTATATGTACGTCAACATTGTAAAGTTTCAGATTCTCAAAAATCTTCGTGTGTGTATTGCAGAATTTTTCTTGTCAGAATGTGACGCACGAAAGTTTCAATATTCATGTTGTAAAATTCGATCTCTCAGGGTCAGTTGTAAAATGACGCAGACAGAGAAGGTAAAACCGCTTATCGGCATTCTCATCTGTCGTAATGTTTAAGAGTCGCAATTTACGAGCAACAATGGAAAGAAAAATCTTTGTTGGGGAAGCAGCTTTCGGGAGATTTTACGATTAACCTGAGTTTTATTGTTTTACATTTTAACCGATAAACCGCGCAATTTCCGAAATTAAGGTAAAGCTTGGAATTGAGACCAAATTTAAGTAGGATTCCGTGTGACGTTCTGCGCATAACGTTCCTCTTTTTCTATCGGACGGAATGCGCCTCGAATCCCTTCGGACCGCGTTGTTTCGTCGTTAAAGAGTTGAGGAAAAAAGAATGGGAAAAGAGATACCGGTGACTTCGAAGTATCAAACGAGTTGGGATAGGTCGTAAAAGGTAGTCGCAGATGGGCCCAACAGATAGTCGAAATAATTTCTTGCTGCGACTGCGCTGGTAATAGGACAATGCTTCTCTTCTTCGAGGACAATAATGATTCATGACTGCAACGACTGTCATTCTCTTTCTTTCTCTTTTTGCTCCTCACCCTGCGCGTATAGGTAGTCGAAAAGTACCTTATTTGTGTCCGTTCCATTTCCAGAGATTTCAAAACGTACGTATACGAACACGTAAGCGTACTCTTCGATCGTGATCTCTCGCTCAGTTTTGTGACACACTTTGTTTGTTTGCACACACTTTCTTTTCCTCGAATTCAAAAACGTGATGGCGGATCAAAAACATCGACAGAGTGGCAAGAAACGATTAACGATAGTCTCATTGTCGAAAAGTTTCCATCTTCAAACCTTCATAATTTGGCGAAAAAAATCGTATAGGAATAAAAAAAAATCGCAATTTTAAGACAAAAGAGAGCGCTTTAAGATACCGCTGAGAAAATATTAAAAACATAATTTGATCAATCATAATAACGCTTTGAAAATGGCAAAAATCATTGTTTTTGGTTCATATTATTTGAAAAACCTGACGTAATGGACATTTTTCACTGACGGATTTAGCGACTAAAATTACATAGGAAGTCACTGTTCTTCTTCTTGTATCTTTTAGGAGTCTTAATTATGTAGGCCTGTGTTATTAATCGTATTTGTTAGCGGCAGAAAAGGCCGCTTTTTCTTAGCGACTAATGGGAGGTTATATAATATTTAATACGCGAAGAACGATATAAATATTCCGTTCATAATTGTCGTGATATCATGTTCTTTGAACAAAACAATCGGTTGATGTCCCGCGACGTGATATAATTCGATTGTTTTTGATTGTTTTCAGATTGATCGTTATGTCAGCATCGGATCGTTTTATAGTAAAACATACCGTCGTGTTAAAAATGTTAAAAAACGCACATATGCGGTTTTGCGGTGGAAAGCCGATGCCTTTTCGCGTAGCTCGCATGGGAAAACTCGTATCACGTGGCTCGGTTGTGGATTGATTAACTGACACGTGAAATCAGAGATAATACTGTATATAACATGGATGATATTATAATACTGTATGGCCTAGAATATATAATTAATTACATAAACATGTCAATCATAAAACGTTACATAAACGTGTCAATTATATTTATGGTTTATCGTGAGCTCTATAAAACATATCGAACAGTTAATACAAGTACGGAATAAATACCGAATATTTATTTATTTATTTACGGGAAAATATCTCTCTTTGGTATATCAAACATTAGTAACTGATTACTTAATCTTCAAAAATGCTACCAGTGTTATAATAGGTACACTTTTTAAGTAACCAGATATGAATAATACAGATATAATAATTAGATACAGATACAGATGTATACCGAAACGTAAGTAAATACAAATATAAGTTTGAAGTAAATTACTAGATAATAATAGATACACATATTGTGAGAATATATTTAGATACACTTTATGAAGTATATATTCTCACAGTATATGTATCTATATCTGATTACTTACCTAGAATTTATATTTATATTTGTGTCTGGTTAAAACAAATGTATCTATTACAACACTGAATGTCACATTAAGAAGAAAAGATACGTAAAAATATATTCGTGACTTTTTAATTTATATTATTTATTTTGCCGTCAGAAATCAACGGAAGAGCTGACGAGGTGCAGTACGGTGACGTTGGCGGAAGAAGTCGCGGGGAACAACGTTGACAAAGCAACGACTCGCACCATACCCGAGAAAATCATGGGCGTTTGCAAGAAGTTCGCGCGCTGGATAGTCTTGCTGGATCTACTCCTGCTGACATCGAGTAAGTCTCGCACTTGTTTACACGTGAATCTCGCGCGAATGAGATGTGCGACGAGTAACAGGATATTCTTGTCTTCGCGCCGACGACAGTTCATCTTTCACCTGATTATCAATCATTCTCTCTTCCTTTGAGATATCGTAATCAGTTCGGACCTGGCCTCAGTTCGGACTCAAATTCCTTTCTTTTTTGTTTCCATTTGATGTTCTTTCACATGAACGAGCTCGTGTCTCTGTTCATCTCTGTCATGTTAATACATTTCTCTCTCCCGTTTGTTACTATATTTTATTTCCCGGCGAGACCTCGGCGATATTTTATTAAATATGAAATTCACACCATCGGCATACGCGCGCCTCGCGCGAAATTCGCGATTGAAGTTTATAGAAATGACCATTTTATCACATAATTCCCGTGTAAATTGAATTTTGAAGTTTCATTCATTGCGTCCCCATCGCGAATGCGATTTCGCATCGCGGTGGAATTCCACGGAGCAAGTTCGAGGATTATTCAAACGTATACAGGGTGTCCGATCGTTTTCGACCGTGTAGTTAAATTGGTTTAGCAGTTTAGCTCATTTAAGTGCACAATGTTTTCTTTTGGCTGCGACAAATGTTCTTCTTAATTGAATTTCACGATTCGACGTGGCTCTCGAGTTGGTGCCGCGTCTTTCGAGGATTCTTATCCGATGTTTCGTGAGGATCGATCTGAAACTGTTTCGATCCTCATCCTGAAGAAGTGAACTGAAATATTTACGCAACGTCGAATACAAATCCTCGAGAGACGCGGCGCCGACTCGGAAAACACATCGAATGTTTACCCGCACTGCAAAAATTAAAAATTTGAGAACTTCACGGTTGTTCGCACCTTGTCGAGTATACGACGCTTCCGTAATGCAAGTCATATTTAATCTACACAATATTCAGTTATATTTAATTTGGTAACGTACAGGATAAAATAATACTCGACTTCCCGAATCTCGTATTTGTGGTTTATTGCGCTAATTAAGCACGATGTTGGCTCTTATTAGCCCCATAAATATTCGTAACGGGCAAATAAGCGTATCTTTACGCCAGACGGGAGGAAGTGTTAGCTTGTTAACTGGCGCGACGACTATTATATTAGCAGGCAAACCGCGAACAGTCGGAAGTGCATGCCGTGCATTCTTAACAGCTGGAAACGCAAAACTTTGCAGTAACCGTACCGTTGTTTACCGAAAAATTGTATTCACGCTTCATAAATGAGTCCTGTCGTTTTTACGCTCATAATTAACGCATTTATGCGTTTATGCGTTAATTATGAGCGTAAAAACGACAGGACTCATTTATGAAGCGTGAATACAATTTTTCGGTAAACAACGGTACGGTTACTGCAAAGTTTTGCGTTTCCAGCTGTTAAGAATGCACGGCATGCACTTCCGACTGTTCGCGGTTTGCCTGCTAATATAATAGTCGTCGCGCCAGTTAACAAGCTAACACTTCCTCCCGTCTGGCGTAAAGATACGCTTATTTGCCCGTTACGAATATTTATGGGGCTAATAAGAGCCAACATCGTGCTTAATTAGCGCAATAAACCACAAATACGAGATTCGGGAAGTCGAGTATTATTTTATCCTGTACGTTACCAAATT